TTCCCGTTGACCTAGAAGTTTGGCAAAAAGCAAGATCTTACAGCAAAAATAAAGAATAGATTCTTAAAAATAAAAAAGTTTAAAATTAACGTAAATTTTTGGTACTGTTTTCGCGAAAAGCTAAATTTTCCCATGTCTTATTGTCGTTTTGCCTCAGGATCTTGATTTTACATCCAATAGGGGCTAAAGGCCTCAGTATCTGGTATAAATTTAAAACTTGCTAGGTCCACCCGTTCTTGAGAAAATCTGTGGTGACACATGGACAGACAGACAGAAGGACAAGAGTGTGATCTCATAAGGGTTCCTTTTTATACCTTTTGAGGTACGGAACCCTAACAATATAAAATTATCTTGAGATGGAAATTCTATCATTGTTTTGATCATGAAACTGGGTTCTTTTGGATTTAACCTGGGATATTGCTGTTCACAATAAATTGCTTCTTTGCATTAATAATTTCTTAAATACTCTATTCATCAAATGTAATGCTTAGTAGCAATATGCACCAATTTACAGTCAGACTGACAGTTATGCAAAATATAAACACTTATCCACAGTACCTACTAGGTATACGGATATGGTTGTGGAACTGTTAAAGACACATGTAAATCAAATTTTTAGAAATTTTGAAAATAATTTTATACTATATATACATAATGTATGTCAACGATTTTCTCTGTCGGAACTGTATCAATCGAGTGTATTTATTATTTCGAAAATTTTATAGGTACGTAGGTATTTGAAATTATTGACTATTTTGCATTTTTATGATCGCGTTCGCTGTTAATTTGAAAGTAGGTAATCGTAACGTCCGGAATTAAAAATTTAAATGAAACGCAACTTTAAAGTCGCATCCGATTTGTAAGATGCCCTAAATAAAAAAAAACACTGCATAAACTTACCAATTTTCGATGAGTCAAATTGCAGCTTAACCAATCTAGAACAACAAATGCGAACACGTTTTAATTCCAAACGAATATTGTTATTGTTACACTATTCTATCTCTGTCGCAGTTCTGTTTGTGCGACCAAGTGGCCACTGGCGTCTTATCCATGGCACAAACTCGCGAAAGTGCGAATCGCTAGCACCGCCCGACAACGGATCAGAATTCAATTGTGGAACCGATGTTTTGATGCGGCTTATTGCCGGCCGCGCTTTTCGCGGGAACAACGCAATTGTCTTCGCGGGAATCGCGCAATTGTTTTCGCGACGTGTGCGGCGCGCGAATCACAGCAAACGTGTGAAGAGCGGACTCGCCGACACTGTATCAAGGATGCATCTTCACCGGCGCGAGCACGCGAAGTGTTCATAGGTTCGCGTGCCGGCGTTACATGTGATCGTTATGGTATTTCACGAAAGTTAAGTTCCACACAAAAGAACATGGGTTGTAATTTTGCTAATTTTGCAACGAGCCGATCATAATAGCGGACGATAATAGATAGCCAAGCATAATGGCCGGTGTATTAATTATCATCATTATTGAATCAAAGACATCATTCAGTAACTTTATCGGATCGGATGACGGTTTTAATCGAAGATTATCTGTAATGATTCATCGGTCACAAAGATAATGTTTTAGCCTACATCTTCTTCTTGCTGAACTTTACCTACCTAGGTGGGGTCGGCTCAATATATGAATCATATTGTTAATAGTATTGACTAGGTACTACAGCCGCGTGCTAAACCCTACTTTGATTAAACAATCAGATCCAGAACGATTATCTGTCAGAAACACTAGTCCCGTGTAGTAATCGAATCCACGACTCCCGGCGTCGAAGTCATTATCTTAGCAACTGTGCCTGCTATCAAGAAAGCTGAATATACAATAATTGTGCAAACAGTAAGCGCAATTAGGTATACCTACATTCATAACTTTACGAGTAAGTGTCAGCTAGTTGTAGTAGAGTAGCAAGGTATTCACAGAAATTCGGACTACTTTGTTGCTTATAAATAGTACAAAAACAAGACAACAACGCTGAAACACTTACAACTAGGTTCCGCCTTGCCTGCGTGGTTGGAGGTGTATCGCTTTTTATAGGGTGATCCTATGTTGTCGCTCTACTCTTTTTGAGTTTATGTGTAGCTTCCATTTGACGAAACTAATGACATCCTTTTCTGATATCTGGAGGAAGAAGAACCCTGACTCCTGCGAGAACAGAGGTATGTGAGGTATCTCGAAGCAGTGCGTTGGGAGTGATTCCGGCATATTCCTTTGCGCTGCCATAAGCACGCCCCAGGTATCGAGTAAAGGTTATGCCTCTGCCAGCTCCCTAACTAGATGATAGTAACACGAGACCACCTCTTCGTCTTCTGCATCTGAGTATACTTTAGTTGACTATAGCTAAATCTCAATTGCAGCAAACCTTCGCGCTTTCTTATTATTCGAGAGGCTGGGTCACCTTTCTGTAACCCCGACACTGCAGCACAGAGTCTTAATGGCTTAGTCTCACCCGAACAGGAAGTTCACATCATACAGCCAACCGAAACCTTGGGAAAAGAAGTACCCAGGAGTCATTTTCGAATTCAGAATGACATTCGCCACATATATTCAAAATTCTTAAGAGCATTTTCTTTAAGACACAAGTTTTATTGTACAAGGCTCGCGGTCGACTCACAACGTTGTAAGCTTGTACGTCCTTTACGTAAGGCCTACAAACTTGTATAAACTTCAGGTAATTCAAAACACGTTCATTCGCTCCGCAATTGGTGCTAGGTTGTATTAACCTATAACATATCCTTACGACGCTACGCGAACAGTTTCAAGAGTTATCGGTTAAGTAAAATTTGTTTGGTTAAAGGAGTATTCGGCTCATCGAAAGCCGAAAACCATTGTTTTCCTCTGGCGGTAAATGCAACAAAATACCAACCCGACATAAACGAGAACATTTACAAACGTCGCCCGCGCAACATTCTCGTCGACCTAGTCGACGAATGGGGAAATAGGTTCGTCGGACCTCTACACATTCTACTAACACATAAAAAAGAAGGAAACAGTAGATGCGGCTGGTTTTGCTTAAAATGCGAATAAAACATGTAGATAAAATACTTTGAGGTTTTCGTCGGTGTTACAATCAGCAGTTTAGCATAGCGGTTAAAGCGTCTAGGCGTGAATCCGGAAGAATTGGGTTCGAATACCGCAGTGGCGAAAACATTTTCGTACATTTTAATGTTTCTATAAATTTTAATGTTTCTTCTTAAGTACAAAGATTAGTACCTACCATAAAAATAGTGTGTCTATATGGCTACGGAATATTGCGGGAATCAAACAAACTATTTTTTTCTGTTTTAGATATTATTTTACGTTGTTACAAATACTTGCTTGAGAATAAGGAGATAGGTAATTAGCCTGACACAAGTACGAAGACCGCATAATTATGATAAAACCGAAAAAACATTGACACAGACACTTGAACTTTTGACCTTAGTAGTGGATGGACTACTTGACAGTAGACAGTAGGTACTGGCTGTTTCTTTTTTTAGTAGAGCAGCCAGGTCAATAAATAACTCGCGTATAGTTTTATGATAAAATAAAAATATTGTTACAGAAACACTAGATATTTTACGCCGACGGATTGTGAAAGTAAGTGTAACTCGTAATATTGTGGTATTTTCCAGCGAATTGCTCTTTTTCGCTTTTACTATTTGACCAGCAGTGGTAACTCGATCTCTGGTTGCTCGCTTTTATTTGATTGAAATCCGACAGTCCCAATTAAAACCTACGGACAACTGTTACGATATCTATAAAATACTATATTGTTTTGAAAGACGTACTTAACTTCTTTGTAAATAATTGTTAATCTCGAACACTAAACAGCGATTCCCAAATTGAGAGCGATCCCAGAGGGTCCGTGATAGATTTTGAGGAATTTGTGTTTTTTTTTAAGTTTGTTTTAATTGTTTTAGTTTTATAATGAGAAAATGACCGAATGGTTCTACCATTCGGTCATTTTATATCTCTATACGGTTTCTCTGCGGCCAAAAATGTTTTAGCAAGGGTACTAAGCTCTAGAAAAAACAAAGGTTCTTATTCCAAAACATTCTATATAAAAGAAAATCGAAATTATACAGGGTGGCTTTTCTAAGTGTATCCATTTTTTTATTAAATTCTAGACATAAATAATGATATATAAAAAATTATAAATATTTAAAATCTCTCTTAAGTAATTAATTACATTAATTTGAACTTATCATAAAAAGTGCGTGATTTATACTCATCTCATTTATTTTACGCGCGATCATTCATAACTAATACGCACACAAATTCGTGCACAGTAAAATTTAGGTATTTATGAATGACTGCTCTGTTTTTTAGGGAATAGAATGGCATTTTTTTCTGGAAAAAAAAACTTTGTTTTTTATTTCAATAAACGATTATACTACCGAATCTGAACCTCCAGTGTAAATTTGGGCACTTCTTAAAAAATCTCCATGTATATAAACTATAAAATAATAGTATATCGCTATCGCTCTTGTCGAAGTTGACGTCAATTCTCCATTTGCAAAACCAAGCATGGAGGCGATCGGCGGAGCTCTAGAGGGTATTTATTCGGTTAAGACGTTTATCCGAATTGGGAGATGTTTCCTCCACGAAAAGAGCAAGGCAGAGAGGCAAGAGCCTTGAGAAACACCTTCCGAGAAGAGAGGGGTCGTAGCAAGAGCGGTATCTACTTGGTTTTTACACAAAAGCAATAATGGGTGGTAAAGCATTGTTAGTATGAGCTCCGTTAGGGAAATATGTTCGGGGCAGGAGTTATTCGATCGAAAGACAAACTGGTTGGTGATTGTTCGGGTGGAACTATCTGTGGGTCACATAAATAGTTGTCCCGTGTGGGGATCGAACCCACGACCCCCGACGCCGCAGCCAATACCTTGGCATCGGCGCCATGGAGTCTTTTAAATAAAAAATATATTAATAGTAAATAGATACATTAATAGCAATGAAAATGCAAACCCGTTCTATATATAAAATTTTAATATACCTCCGCAATTACACTTAAACTTAACAAACTAATCTGTATGAAATATATCTTCCAGCAGTCTCAGAGGACCTAATGATTTTCACCACCTTCAAACAAAATTTTATTATAAAAAAAACAGTTTTTTTCAATTTAAAATAAAATAAAAATCACCATAATGAAATAAATTAATAAACAAACCTGCCCTCTTTTTAGTCCAAAGTATCTAGCCACAGGGTCACCAGCTTGAATTCTCATCAACATATTTTCCTTTAATTTACTGATATTTATGTTGAGAAAATTATATATAGGTAAATAAATTTATGCATGTTGTAACAACTATAGTAAAGTAACAGCCTATACACATCCAGATGGTATTAGGTCTTAGGGCATTATTATCTATGTATGTACAATATTTATACATATTATGTATAGATATACTTATTTGTATTCAAATATACATGTATGTGTACCTGATGATGATGATGATGGTTATATTTACTCTTCGGTTTAGCACCTGCTATCTACTTTTCACCATGACAAGGATTTACTGATAGAATGCCATTAGGCATTAAGCCAGCCCATTGTAGCCTTTAGCCTAAGGTGTAATAGTGAATAAATAAAAAATAATAAAATATATATAAATAAAAAATAAAAAACAATAAAATAAAATAAAAACAAATAAACAAATACATGCAAGCCCCCTTCAGATTGGCAGACTTCACTTTGAAATATTTTTCTTTATACAGCGTGTCGTTACCATCGCGACAATAAATGAACACACGTCTAACGCAACTTGCCAATAATCATAAAAAAATATTAACGTTAAACAAAATCTATAATTAAAAAAAAAATAATTTTCAAACAAACTAATTAAGTAAAACGGAAACAAAATTTGTAACACCCTATACAACTAGCGCCACAGCGTCGTATTACAAGCCTCTCCTTCTAACAGTATGTTTTGTCTCTTTTAAATTCATTCAACGCATTCATATGCTTTGTGACCCTTACAAATGAACTTTACGTTACGCTTTTATAGGTAAGGGTGTTCTAAAATTCTTTGTTTTGGAAAACTTAATAACTCTGTAAATATTGATGTTTAAAGAATTTAAATGTTTAATACAACTTTAAAAAGTTATGCCCTATATGTGTGTTCATTTGTTGTCGCGATGGTAACGACACGCTGTATATTATTTCGAAATTATGCAAGTTTCCCCAGAATGTTTTCCTTCACAAACAAGTATTTCACAAATAAGTATATGGGTCACACCCACAGGTAATTTTTCGGATTCGGTCTGGGGTTTTTTTTATGTGACAAGTTGCTAAGTGAGCAGGCGGTTCACCTGATGTTAAGTGAATACCACCGCCAATGGACATCTGCTACACCAAAGGCTTGCAGATGCGTTAACCTTTTGAAAATTGGGCTCCGGCTACCTCACTCACCAGACGAAATGCAAAAGTATTTATTATACTTCCACTTCATGCCGGTCTTCTGTGAAGTGGTGGTACTTACCTGGACGAGCCTGCCCATTTGTGCAACAGTCGACGCTGCTGCATGGCCCTAACACAGTAAATGTTTGTTTCTATTAAGTTTTAAAGTCATACAGGTAGGTTGTAAAAACCTATCCAAAACCTCTGACAACATTTTCCACATGTTACACCCACCCCCCCTAGGTAAGATAAGTGCTGGAGAATGATGATAACTAGTTGGCAGCAATAAATAAGTAGTGACTGACAACAAGTGCATCATTCATAGGCTACCACTATATATCTTCGTATATTTTAGATAAAATGTGGTAAAAAGGATACTATCTAGCTAATAATTCTTGCTTTTCATCAGGTGTTAACACAATGTGTTCAGGTACCAACTCATGCTCCGTAATATTAATTAACAATTCAGATTCCAAGAATTGTTCTAAAATATATTTTGGGGCCATGTCGACTAATGACTGCTTAGCGGACGGAGTCATTCCTGAAAATTGTAAAGAGATTTATATTCATTTACAATATTTTATATTTTAGTTTTTAAATTTAAAAAAAATGTTACAGAGACAATAAACTCTTAGCTAACAACTGAATTGGACATTTAAATACAAACACCTACCTGCCTGAACTACCACTATTGCCCTATGAATATTTTCTTCTTGCATTCTAGTACAATATGTTTTAATGGTTTTAATTCCTATTTTAGCTTCGTCAGGAAAGAATACAAACATTTGATCAGTTGGGTCATCATTATGAGCAACTAGAACAATTAAATCACTCCTAGCAGGCCGTTTTTCACTGAAAATAAAAAGTAAACATAACAAAATTAAAATTTCAGAGTTCAGGCTCCATTGGTAGCATTTGTGCAGGATTGGTGTCAATCCTATTACAACTTTCGATATTTAATGAATAAACTCTGTTGGTATATTTGTCAAATTGAATGCTAAAATTTTCTTATTATTGTGTGACATGATTGTGAAAATATAATAACATCAATAAATATCTCTTAAAAACCAATAAACTGCTAAACTTACAATGAAATGTGTACCAATGGTAAAAACATACTTCTTGTTTTAACATTGGTATACATTTAATAAAATGTTAACATTTTATTATGATGCTATTAACATATATCGAATTCTATAAATCAGAAGTGATTTAACACTTTTAGTTTAAACTGATTTTATTATTTTTTATATTATCTCTTATTAATAATTAAAATATATAAGGGAATAACATTTCTGTATCAATTAAAAATTATTAGGGAATTTATAAGGAAAAAAATTGAATGTAACCTAAATATTTACCAAGTTTTTGAACAAACTTTTTTTAATGCTTACAAATTTAATCTTCTAACAGGTAATCAGATATTAAATGAAATCCAATAAGTTTATATTAAGAAAATTAAAAACTAACAGAATTAATATTGGCAATAGTTTATTCAAAATCAATTGACACTAAGTATATCAATGTCAAATACAAAGTAATGAAAAATTGACATCGTAAATACAACACGAATATTTCATAAATTGTTAAATTTCTTATATATAAAATGCAAGTTATGGAAGAAAAACTCAAACTAAACAAATTAGTAAACGGTTTATCAAAAACAGCAAAGATATATTTGGGTTAGTACGTTTAAACATACCTGGGTTTATCTCCAAATTGTTCCTTAAATTGTTCTAAAGTTTGATCTAATTCATCCTGAGTTACTAAATAACCACGGTCATGACAAAGCTGAAAGAAAATATAATAATGAGGAAATATTTGGTGGCAAACACAAACAGATCAAAGAATATAAAATTGAAAGACAGTACCTGCATAACAGTTTTACGAATTCTCCAAAGTTTATAAGTTTCTGCATCATCATCCATATTTTCTTAATTATATTTCAATTTTATGTAATTAAATTGCAAATCGGTTACTAAAAAGAGGTTATATTAATAAATTCCACTCCACACAAAGCGACTGAAAGAAAACAAACAGAACAGATAAACAAAATTTGGTATGTGTTTTTTATAAAATTGACAACAGTCATAAATTTACTGCCAAAAGAATATGATTAATATTGTTAGAATATTATGTTTTAAAAATATGTCCATTACCTTTATGGTAGTATTTTGTTAAATCAGTTTTCCTACACCATAAAGTATGAGTTGCATTTGGCATTTCACATTAAAATCAACATTTACGTTAGTGCTGGGCATGAGCACCGATTTTAAACAAAAATATTTAAAAATTTTATAGTTAAATTATTTTATATTTTGTTGTTGTCTTTTAGGATTGATTGCCGCTTTCATTCACTTATTTTTTTTACTTCAGTTTATTCTAATTATCTAAACCAAAGAAAAAAAGTCATTGAATCATAATAGGTCGAAAAAAGAATATCGATAACAGATTTTCGGTTTGAAACAAAATTAATTATTTTTTTAATAGATTTTTTTTTTACTAAATTCACATTATTTTAATGTATGCGAAATCTTAAAATTTGTAGAAAAAGTACGAAAAGATTGTCCCCGCTGTAGGAATCGAACCCACGTCTTCGGCATTCGCGGCCTGACGCTTTAGCCACTAAGCTAAACGGCTGATTGCCACACCGACGAAAATCTTAACGTCTTTTATCTACATTGTTTTTGGCATTTGAAGCAATGCTTGGATGCTATTGTTACATCCTTTCCAGCATACAAACAATTTCGAATATTGTTTTACAACGATAATTCGAACGAGAGATGATGATGGTTTTGCGAGGGAGGAAATACCTTGAAAATCGCGCTGTTGTGGAACACGTCCAGTGTTGTGGTGGGGATAAAATTTTTGGTTTAGGCGCGATGTTCGATGGTGAAACTCAGCCGCCGGGATTAATGCAAACAATTCCTCGGAACACTCTCCGTGATAAATGCGGTAGAAGATGTAGAGTTATCCAACATCTCTACGCAGACCCAAAGGATCAAGCCGATCGGAAAGACTTGGACGTCAATAACCCTAGCCGCCCTACTTTGAATATGGTTAAATGGAAGAAGCTGGTACTCATGTGGGGCCGACTTTGCGTCTTATAGAGGTTTATGCGTTGAGCCGACGTGAAGTACTGTATCGCCTTGCTGAGCACACCAAATTTCTTTGAGGCCAATTTGGCGTTACCCTCCAATTGACCGCGGTTGACAGTCCAGTTGACTTTGCTCGAGATTTTGACGCCAAGTATTCCTATACAAGCTGTGGCAGATAGGGGAGTGTTCTTGAAATGAGGAGTTACGACAAAGGGGACATTTTAGCGGTTAACGCGCAAACTTGTGTCTTTTGGGGTTGAATTGGACTAAGTTTAGTCGATCCCAATGTGTGACTTTGGTTAACAAAGTCTCGACTTCAGATACAAACTTGTTCCGGTTCTCGGAGACTTTTTAGCGGTTAACGCGTAAACTTGTGTCTTTTCGGGGTTGAATTGGACTAAGTTTAGTCGACCCCAGTCTGAAACTTTGGTTAACAAGGTCTCGACTTCAGATACAAGCGTGTTCCGGCTCTCGCAGACGTTTTCCCGATAAATGTTAACACGGCTAGTGTACGAGACATCCACAATGCTATCATCTGCATAGAAATGTCATATAAGCAAGATATGACGAAGAAACGAGAAGGATAACCGTAGCCTTGTAGCACCAGCATTGACAAATTTAGAAACAGGACATGCACCGGCAACGACAACCTTGATGCTCCAATCTGCCAAAAAGCTGGTGATCCAGTTGCATAATTTCTCGGGAAGCTCTTAGGAAGGCAGCTTCGAAAGAAGCGCTTTGTGCCATACTCGATCAAAGGCCTTCGATATGTCTAGACTGGCTGCAAGCGTCTCTTCCTTGCTCTCATCTGCTTCTGCCCATCTATGCAAAAGGTAGGCCGGAAGATCACGATCAAGATCAAGTAGAGTGGTCGCTAATCAGCCGGTGCTTCTCTAGGTATCGCAGGAGCTTGCAGTTGATAATGGACTCCATTATATTTTGGAGAACAAGGAGGTGATGGCTACAGGCCTATAATTGGACGGATTTGAGTGGTTATTGTTTTTAGGGATCAGGTGCACTAAAGCTGCCTTCCATGCCAAAGTCGAGTCGGAGGGGAAGAGAGAGCCCAGAAGTTCGACTTTCTCCTTCGCGGCCAACGAATCATCCTCCGTGTGCAGTAGTGGAAAAGAAGGCTTACAGAAATTCCTTAAGAGAGCTTTGGCGAAAGACCAAAACGCACGTGGGTGAATTGTCCAAAATATCAGCAATGAGAAGTGTCAACTAAGTGGGAAAAAAATTCAGCCATGTGCCAGATATTCCGGTGTATAATAAAAAACTCATTCATATATTCTCTTTGGCAGCGGGGGTGAAGCTGCGGTTAGCAGCCAGTTTAGTAATAGTTGTTTGATTGACATGAAAATTCTGAGCGATAATAAAAAAAAAAATTACTCAGGTGGTTTAATGGTAATAATTTTTATAACGTCTAATAATTTTTTATGAAAACTTGATATTATAAATGTAATCATTTTATTATTTGATTATAATTAAATTTTCTTAACTTTATTTCAAGATTAAAGTAAAGTAACTTTAGTCAATTCCATTAACATTTCGCATGCTATTTAGAAGTTAGCTTAACATGTAGTTAAATATTAATGAAAAGTCGAAAATGTAATGATATCGATATATATAATAAAAAATCGATATTTTTTCGACATCTCTTTAGTGAATGAAGTTTTTAGTTTTGTATTTGCATTCGTCGTGTGACACTTATTTTTAATCAATTTTTTTAATCATTCTGATTTTATTTAGTAAGATAAGAATATCCTTTCTTTATTGTTTATTAAGATGGCTGGTATCAAAGGTACGAATTTTAAATCATACAAATACCGTAAATGTTTACAATGAACGTTTTACTCTTGGAATGACTCATACGTTATATTTACAAACAATTTTCATTATTTCATTGCATTAAACAGTTAATTTTTTTCATTTCATGTTGCCTCCATGGAATATTATAGGGTAAGTAAAAATTTTTATTGGTATATTAATGTGAGAATAATAATCCAATATGGCATAAAACTTACCTACTTCAAACATCAATTTGTAAATAGAATGTAGAGACCTGTACATATAAATTAAAAATTGATACTTCATTTTCCCCCTCTACAGTTATGTTATTAATTTTATATGTTTCTTGTATATTTCTTTTTACTTTTGTAAGGACAATTTGTTTTGAATACCATAATTATCAGTGACCCAATGGATTTGTCTCCCAAGTTTCTAGGTGGTCTATTTTTTGTCACATTTAACAACATGGAAAGTAATTTGAAATTTATGCTTAGGTATATTAATTCCTTTGATCAGTTTTTTAAAATTGTTTATCTGAATATAAGTCTTTAATATTATATTCCTTTTATTTTCTATTGTGATAAATGTTTGTCTTTACAGTTTGGTATCTCTTGCATTTGCGGGCTCTATTGGTATGACATTTGTTATACTGGCATGTGCTCTACCTCAATTTAAGTAAGTATATTCACTTATTTATTGACATCTAAAATAAATACACATCGATTTATACATTTGTAAGTAGGTGAAAAGTGACATAATAGGATTATATTTTCCTTGAGAATATGTATGTATGCTTTAAGCTTTTATAAAGTAGAAAAGCAACTTTAACATGCCATCTAACATGTTATTAGTATATATGTATGGTGATTATTATGTGGCACTTTATGTTATAAAATAATAAAATGGTATAAATTCAATATCATATAATATCACATTCATAGCAGATACTTCTGAATTAAGTCCTCTGTTTTTCCTACTTGTTGAAGTTCTTTAGATTGGAAGGCTTCATGAAATCTAAAAGAGAAGTCTGCTGGGTCAGATTTTTTGTTCCACAAAATTTCCTCATAGCATCATGATTTTTTTAAATTCTTGATTTGTTGAAGAAACATACTCTTTGCTGAAGTCTATATTTTCTATAGTTTTTAAGCCCTATTCAACTACAACAAGACCTTCCATCAAAATGTCACGGTCTTTCAATCTTATGATTAAATAAGTCGGATTGCTCAAGCTGCTTCAATTTCTTGCTCTTACATATCTATAAGCTCATCAGTTGTCACCTCCCAATTATTCAAATTCAACAGTTCTTGTTTTATCAAACAAATGATGAATGCATAACATATAAAAATTGTGTAACTCTGGGTTCATCACTACATAGTATAAAACAAAGTCATCCTGCTGTCTCTATGCATGCTTAGATCTTTAAAATTACAACGGATCTTGATGCGGGTTTTTTTTACTGGATAGAGTGATTCAAGAGGAAGGTTTATATGTATAATATATTGCACCCGTGCGAAGCTGGGGCTGGTCGCTAGTATTATATACATTGAGGTAACATATGAGCTATTACTGTATTAAATAACACAAAAATTTTTAGCCATTGTACACCATATATAAATTCAAAAAATATTTTATCAGTAAAATGACATCCTATAAAATTGATATTTTTATCAAAACCTGTCATTTTGTTTTGATAACAAATTGAGTTGTCTTTTGTGTCTTAAAAATCAAAAGTGATTTATTCACGCCCAGTTTCTGAAACACCAATAAAGAAATTAACTAATCAACTGTCGAGTTAGTTAATTTCAACAATGATCAGTGTTTCAGAAACCGGGCGTGTCTCATAATACTTAGGTATCGATCCATACCAAATAAGAAATCCATTAATATAAAACCGATCTAAATATTGACTGACAAGTACAAAAAACTCATTGAGTAGAATAAATTTTATTGTTTCAGTTGAATTGTTCAATTATCAGTCAATAAGCGAGGTGCGAGTCTGCCTCGCGTACGAAAGGTTCCATACCATTATCTAGAAAAACGGCCAAAAATCATGTCTGTTTTAAGCCCCATTTAAATATTTTTTATTGTTTTTTAGTATTTTTTGTTATAGCGGCAACAGAAATACATCATCTTAGTAAATTTGAACTGTCTAAATATCACATTCATAAGATATTACCTGGTGACAGGGAGACAGCGAAGTCTTAGTAATAGGGTCTTTTTTATGGGGATCAAACCTTAATAATTTATTGAATATTTACTTTTCAGGTTATGGTGGCCATTTTTTGTTGTACTATTCTATATTTTGTGCCCCATTCCGACAATGATTGCACGGCGTCACACAGATAGCACGGGGGGCACAAACTCATCTTGTATGGAGACTGCAATCTTTATTACAATGGGTATCATAGTTAGCTCCTTTGCTCTGCCAATTGTGCTGGCTCGTGCTACTGTGGTCTGTATATTTTTTCATAAATTTCATATTTTTTTTTCATAACTTCAATATTTGTTTTCCTTTTAGAGAAAATTAGCTTTTCGATGGACATATTTTATAATTTCACATATTCTATATTAAATAAGACTAAAACCTAAACTAAGAAATTGTTTATTTACTTTTAATTTCAATAATATCAATTTTAATCAAAAAAAGAAGTCTTAAATGTTGTATATTCATATAACTTTTAAATATTGTGGCTGTAGGCCTTGCATTTGGCCTCGCGTTTTAGCAATTTATTTTTCAAACCATTAAATAATATATAACATACTAACTGAAATTGAAAAAAACTAAGCAATTTATTAATTTGTGATAATTTTACATAAAAGTCATATATTTTTGTTTTATTTATTTATTTATACATTATCATAGTCACAATTTCTGTTCTAAGATAGAGATAGATTGAAAGTGTGAGCTTGAAATGTTTTACTCCATAATTATATTACTTTTGAATATCTATTTTCCTATTTGGTATGTTTTGTCACTTATCAGTCAAAATTTTATTTTTTTCAGATTATGTGGGGTGCATGTTATCTAACCCTGGCTGGCAATGTAATTGTTTATCTGACCATAATTGGTTTCTTTACTATTTTCGACATGGATGACTCAGATTATGCAATGTGGTGAGAGATCTAAATCATTTGCTTCAAACAAAAAGAGACTATGTTAAAGCTGGGTTTTGTATGATAAGTAATGTTGTGGTTATGTCTATCTAAATAAATTTAAGTCTGAAAGTAAGATATTGATATTGGTATTTTTAAATTGGTGTTTAAGTATATCTGATGCCTTTAAAGATGATTAGATTATTGCATCTGCTTTATAAATAAAAAATGCATCTGTCCAAATTGCTTGGCATTTGTAATGTTAAAATATTATATTAGGCTTACAAATTTAAATAGAATTGTTTCAAGATATTGATCAAACATTTACTAATTATTTAATTACTAGCGTTGTAACAAGAAATTTCTTATCACTCAGAAAACCCTTTTTGTTTTCAATAAGTTACTATAGAAACTCATTAAAATTACCTATAACCTTTTATTTTTATTACTACTAAATATTATTGTTGTATCAATAATTGAAGTACACCACACTTCAAATATGAATATGTAATTTAAAAAAATGTTATTTTTATACATAAGTATTTTTGTTAAATAGAATTATAACAAGTAGGTATATTTATATTTTCAAAATCTTACTAATTCATAATAATTAGTTATAAACATGCATAATTATAAGAATTACAGGCTGAAATAATCATCATATTTATTTTCAAAATAAGTGGTAATATTATTTAAAGCTTTCATATAACAAAAATTACATTATATATTGGAGATGTTTTTCCATATAAAGATTGGGTAAAAACAAAACATTGACAAAATTTTACAAGATTCTTAATGTATGATTCAAAACTAAGATGTTAATATAGCTACTAGCAGACCGGACAGACGTTGTCCTGTACACAAAACTTAAAGTCGCCAACTTAGAAAAAAAATTGCAGTGGATCAAAATTGTGAATCTAAACCATTTTTGAATCAACCTGAGGACACCCATAAAATGTCATTAAAATCGGTCCATCCATTTAGGAGTTCAGTGAGATACACATATACAGAAGAATTACAAGTATATATAAAGATAAATGTTATTGATTCCAAATTATTTTCTCTAAATTTGTGTAAAAAAAAAAACTGTACAATAAGTTTCTTTTGGATCAGTAAGTTGAGTCAGTTATTGTATCCATTTGTTAATTTTTGTGTTTTTCATTGAGTTATCTAACCTGAATAATATCAATATGCTTATACTATGTTCATTTGGGTAGTCACATTCCTGTTATGTATTTTATGTAAATATATAATTTAAGTAACAGGTTAAAATAAAATAAACAATTGCTTTATAGAATAAATTTTGATTTATTTTTTTAATGGAACAATTAATTGCTCGATAAATAAAATTAACGTACCTTGAGCCAGTGGTAAGTTACCTATTTAAAGAGCAACGGCGAAATCCGCGAAATCTTATTTGACTAAAATGAAAACCTCTAGAAGACTTAAATCAAGAATATTAAAAAAATATCTACATTTAATCAAGTTATCATTTAAAACAGTTAACGGATATAAAAAATAGTTATTTAGGATACTTAATTGATTGAAATGATTAATATTTTTTACTTTAGTGTTACATTTCAAACTTTATCCTTAAATAAGGTAGATAAGATATATATAAAGTTATAAACGTTCTATTTATATAGCTTTCTAGGGATGGGCAAGTAAAAAAAAATATCGATATTTATCGTATCGCCATTTTTAAAAACTCGATAATTATCGAGTGAAAAATATCGATATATTTTTTTAAATTATTTATATTTCCAAACCATTCAAAATTCGTAAAAAAGTTATATTTATCAATAATCGATCGAATCAAATACAATTTAATCGAACCAATAATCATCTGATGCGGACATTAGGAGCACCCTCTGTTTAATGTGCTTTGCTGTGTTGCTTTGTTGGGCACTGTCAGATTCACAGCAACGCTTTCTGAAGACACCGACGAAGCCTTTCAAATTAGATACTTAAGGGCGACTTTTGAATTTCTTTTTAAGGTGTTTTATTTTTGTAAATTTATTAATTTGTAATTTCTTAAAATTGTAAAATACTAATCAGTCAGAACGCAAACATTTTGGACTCATTGAAGGTCACAGCGTTAAATAAAATCATGCAAACTGACTGTATCACACTAAATAGTTGAACAATTTAATTAGTTCATCAACTTCTCATGATACTGAAGTTAGTTGACGTCTAATAATATTTGAAACTTTTTCCACCGATAAGTCATAAAAGAAAATATATAAAAATTATACTTAGTGTTTTTAAATTACTACATGTGCAATTTTTTTCTTTTTGGATTTGTTGCAAGACCCAAAAATTGTTAATTTCAAGGTCACAAACGTCTCATACTGATGGTTTAATAGTATTTGTAATTAGTATTTTCATGATATTGGCTTACTTTGTCTTGTTACCAGGCTATATAATATAATATGATAAAAAAAATTTTTTTTTTCTTAATTATGGCTCGGCACCATTCGTGCATTAAGCCAGTGTCAAGTATTTTACATTTTTTCAACAAAGGAGGGATAATAAAATAAAAACAAGTAATCTTAAACTACAATCTAATCTTATTATTTACAATAAATTTATTTAATGTACTATATACACTATTATCTCTAAGAAGTAAGTAAATATTAGAAGGAAAAGGAATAGAGAGAGATATTAGAGATTCGTATAGGGAAGAGTGGTCATATAAAGGACAGGAAAAGAAAACATGCTTCATATCGCAATAACTCTCACCACATTCACAGGCAGTACTAGATACTATGCCAAGTTTATGAAGATGTAAGGGAGGGAAATATGTCCAAGACGCATGCGGATTAAAGACGAAGTGGCAGTTTTATTAAAACACAGTTTGGCAAACCATGACTTTCTTAGGACTAAAGGCTGTATAGCGTAGAGGAAATGACCCTTGACCTGACCGCTCTCTCTCCAGCTCAAATTCCATGTATCATGGAGATATGTGCTGTATGAAAATCGTGTATGGGTATAAATCGTCACTCACAGTTGCCTCGTTTGCCAAACTGTCAGCTCTCACATTTCCTATGATGCCACAGTGGCTAGGTATCCAACAGAAAGTGACTGTGTAGTTATTTAATTGGCAATGCATCAACTTTCTCTTACATTCAAATGTTATGTGGAAAAAAAGATTCAGTTTTAAGGAAAATTTTTCTAAGCTTTCTAAAGAACTGAGTGAATCTGTAAATATAACAGTTTTGTTAAGTTTAAAACTTATTACATATTCTATTGCTTTCAGAAGACCAAAGCATTCTCCCCTAAATATAGATGTTTCTGGTAGTAATTTTGTTTTTTGGACTATATTATATTGGTTTTGAACTACACCTACTCCAACACACCCTGTGGGATGTTTGGATGCATCAGTATATATGTGATGCTAATTTGGCCATTTAGTATTTACAATATGGTTAAAAGTAGTGTTTGCATTACAATCGGACCTATCTATGTTGAGAGTTAAACAAATAGTAGGACAGAAAAGAAGAGAAGCATATGATATATGTGTAGGAGCTTGTAACGATTTATATTGCTGAAAACTTTTTAATAGGCATAGAAAGGGCTTATTACTGGAAGACAATTTCTCTAACAATAATTCAAGTTTGGAAGCTAAAGGATGATTAGAAAATTGAACAAGCCGGAAAATAAATCTGTCAGAGAGATACTGGTGCCTAAAGCTTAAAGGGGGGTCGAAACATTCTATTTGAAGGGCATTAACTGGAGTGGATTTCATTGCACCTGCAATTAGTTTTAATGCCTTAGAATGAATCAGGTCCAATTTCTTAAAACCTGCCACATTCCTAGGATCTAAAAAGAAAGTACCAAAATCTAAAACACTTCTAATAACAGCGTTGTAAACCAACTTCATAGTAGCTGGATGAGCAACTCACCAGACACCGCGTAGACATCTGAGCATATTCAAATTCCGTTCACATTTTGAAACTACAAACTAACAATGGGCTAGACCTGTTAGTTTTGCATCAAGTACAACCCCTAAAACTTTTACTTAATTTTTGCTTGGTAAAGGTGTATTATCATAAGTAATAGTAGGTGTGTGAGGATTTCGAGATTTGGTAAAACTAACGCAGCTACTCTTTGACGGAGATAGATCTAGGCCATTAGTATCCAACCAAGATTTTAAAGAAGATAAGTATGAAGGAATATGCTCACACGCAACTGCTACAGATTTATCAGAGGTGTACCTATATGACCAAGACATCCACATACTGTAGGATACTAACATTATATATATAATAACACATCAACAGATCTTTCTAAGTCGTATGTATATATGTTGTACAGTACAGTACCTTGCGGCAACCCCTTCCAGACCAATCTACTAGTTGTATACGGGTCTCCAACGTCCAGAATAATTTGTCTCTCGGAAAGAAAAAATGTGGAACGCTTCACGATTTTGCGTGACATCCTTGCGCAGAGGCCATGCTAATCTTCTCTGTATCGTTCCAATTTTAGTATATGTACTGCCGAAGCAAGTACAAAAAAAAAATCGTGAACGTGCACCACACAAAGTTGCGTTAAAAAAATATATCGTAATTGATACGAATTCGATAGTCGAAAATAAATATCGAATATCGATATATCGGGAATAAAAATCGACGATATTTATTGATATTTATTTGGAAAAATATCGATATTTTTATATATCGATATGTTTTGCCCATGCCTATAGCTTGCTTAAAACAATTTTAAAGCCTATGATTTTGTCTGAATAAAAAGATTTTTGTGTTTGTATATTATATAGTGTATTTTATTCAGTTCCTTTCCATTCTAAAATCTCGATGTGTTAATGTAAGTAAGTGAAAAATGCTATGGCAGTACTGCTTTAAAAGTAACGTTCACGTTGTCGTTTGACACATTGACGGGCATTTAGGGATGTGGAAAGTGGAGAAATATTTATAGATATCGATATATCGATATTTATAAAAATATCAATATCAATCACGATATATCGAAGAGAAAAAAAGATACATGGATATTCTTTCTTTTTGCCTTCTCTTTTTAAGTGTTAAAAATAGATGCACTCGAAATAATAAGATACTTGGCATTAACATTCTAAATAACTTGGTTAAACACTAATTTAATGTTCAGGTTTCAACGCAGCTTCAATTGGATAACTTGTCCTGTGCCGCCAATCTATCCAAGCAGATCGTTAATTGGAATAAAGCCTCTCTTTTCGTTATATATAGATTTTTGTGTTACAAAATTCAAAATATATACTACATTTTATGAATATATAACACATAATATTTAATAAAATAAATAATTAACGAAAATGAAAATAACAAACCAGTGCCATTTTTTTATATGAAAAAGTGCTGAAACGAGCTGACGGTTCACGTGATGTTAAAAGGGCCCATTCTCTATAAATATAGCTCAATTTTGCTAAGTTAGTGCATTTTTTTTTCTTCATATGACAACACTGCCGCTATGCAGGACGGCCAAACCACTGACGCTCCTGCGTGGCGGACTGCAAGCGGTGGGCGGAGCTTGCAGGTCCCTTGCAGGATGCAAGGCGCGTCCTGCTCGGTGTTGCCAGAAACTGCGCAGGCCTGCAACACCATTCACGATCCTGCATAGAGCGGCGGACTGCCAGGCGGACTGCCAGGCAGGATAGTGAATGGGCCCCTTAAGCGATAACCACTGCCCTTAGATATTTGCAACACCCGTAGGGTTGCAAATGCGTTACCACCTTTAAATAAAGTGGGTTACTCACCACACGAAATGCAGAAGTGTAACACTTAGTTTACGCTGATCTTCTGTTAGGTCGTCGTACTTATACAGACGGACTTACCCATTCGTGCAAAAGTGATCGTGATTCGTGCACCGTTGCGTGGCCCTACAACAGATAAGATCATTATCGCCATACAAAAATTATTGTACGACGATCTTTCACTGTCGTAAGGACTACGACTACCGTCTACCGCCGAAAGAAAAACCTACGTAACTTTAAATTATTTGATCAACCTATTTCCATTATAGGCAAATAAAAACTTCAAAAATAATCTTTTTTTTAACTAAAATAAGAATCTTGGTGACATTGATTGTTTACTTGTACTAATTTTGATGGGCATAGGATGATTTTCCCCTGACCTTTCTGCATATATTATTAAGTTTTATCATAACTCCAAACTAATAACAACTAAACATAATTATTTTCAATAAAAGCTTTTTAAAACATGTAGAAATCAATGTATAATCAATCTTAAGTGCAGAAATTAACACTATAAAAAACTTTAAAATTTATAAAAGCTTTTTGTTATTTATTTGGCTTTAAATGAAACTACGAGCTATATGGCCGGCTCATCGCCACTTCAGCTTGCTAATCCTCTGAGCTATGTCGGTTACCTTGGTTCTACTGCGGATGTCTTCGTTACGAACTCTATCACGCAGAGAAATACCGAGCATAGCCCGCTCCATAGCTCGCTGAGCGACTTTGAGCTTCCTCATACGGCCAGCAGTGAAGGACCACGTCTCGGTTCCGTAGGTCATCACTGGCAACACACATTGATTGAAGACTTTAGTCTTCAAACATTGAGGTATATTCGACGAGAAGATTTGCCGAAGTTTCCCGAACGCTGCCCATCCGAGTTGGATTCGCCGATTGACCTCTGCGTCGAAGTTGGACCTACCTAGCCGGACTAACTGTCCTAGGTAAACGTACTCGTCAACAACTTCGAGCTCAGTGCTCCCAACGACAACCGGTATAGGCGTGACATGGACATTAGACATGATCTTTGTCTTGTCCATGTCCGATAACCGTTGGGGAAGAAAGGTTCTCGAGTGGCAGCCTCGTACTGGCCATCGCAGTGTAGGACGACCCCCCACTAGATGGAGTGACGACCTGTGCAAATGTGCGGGAAGTCGATGGATGCAGGTGGCTCAGGATCGTACTTCGTGGCAGTCTGTGGGGGAGGCCTATGTTCAGCAGTGGACTCAAACAGGCTGAAATGATGATGATGATGAAATGAAACTACATACAATTTTATTTTTTTTTTCATTTTAATAAATCAGATTGGAAACATTCTTTCAATTTAATTTTAAGAATAGTGCGTTTGTTTCTATATTTTAAAAAAAAAATCGAAGATATTTATTACTTAATAGTTTTGTGAACGGCAGACTGGAACGTATCCATTACTCATACCCCGCCCGTTCCGTTAACTGACGTTTCGCATATTGTCATATCTATATATGCTGATTTCTTCTTTTTTATCTATTTTTCCCTATTCAGTATTCACCTGTGTTTTAAAGTGAATCTGTCAAGTCGCCGCACCCATAAACTTTTAGATATTTATTTAAATAATTTACCAATAAGAATTAGCTATGGGTGATCACTTGCCAGCGTGCGTCATCGATGTGGGGACAGGATATACAAAGTTGGGATTCGCCGGTAATAAAGAACCCCAGTTTATTATTCCGTCAGCCATAGCGATAAAAGAAACTGCAAAAGTTGGCGATCAAAGCACTCGGCGGATGACTAAGGCTGTTGAAGATCTGGATTTTTTCATCGGAGATGAAGCTTTTGAGGCAACGGGCTATTCAGTTAAATATCCCGTACGTCATGGTTTAGTTGAAGACTGGGATTTAATGGAAAGGTATATTGAGCAGTGCATTTTTAAGTACCTCAGGGCAGAACCAGAAGATCACCACTTTTTACTTACTGAGCCGCCATTAAATACGCCTGAAAATCGTGAATATTTGGCTGAAATAATGTTCGAGTCTTTTAATGTACCAGGTTTATATATAGCTGTTCAAGCAGTTCTTGCTCTTGCTGCATCTTGGAAATCGCGTACATCTACCAAACGCACATTCACTGGTATTGTTGTCGACAGTGGAGATGGTGTAACTCACATTGTACCAGTGGCAGAGGGTTATGTAATTGGCTCCTGTATCAAACACATTCCGATTGCAGGTAGAAATATTACATCATTTATCCAGTCCTTGCTTCGTGAAAGAGAAGTTGGTATTCCACCTGAACAAAGTTTAGAAACAGCAAAAGCTATCAAGGAAAGGTACAGTTACATATGTCCTGATATAGCCAAGGAGTTTGCAAAGTACGATTCTGATCCTGCTAAATGGATGAAAAAATATACCGGCATCAATGCAATCACTAAAAATCCTTTCACTGTTGATGTTGGATATGAAAGATTTTTGGGACCAGAAATATTTTTCCATCCTGAGTTTTCAAACGCTGATTTTACTGTTCCTCTTAATGAAATGGTGGATGAAGTTATTCAATCTTGTCCCATTGATGTAAGAAGAGGGTTATATGGCAATATTGTGCTCTCTGGTGGGTCAACAATGTTCCGAGACTTTGGCAGAAGACTGCAACGAGATATTAAGCGTACTGTTGATGCCAGGCTTAAGTTGTCAACTATGTTATCTGAGGGACGTATCACTCCGAAACCTATAGATGTACAAGTGATTTCTCACAACATGCAGAGGTATGCAGTGTGGTTTGGTGGAAGTCTGTTGGGTTCAACACCAGAATTTTATCAAGTATGTCACACTAAACAGGCCTACATGGAGTATGGACCAAGTATTTGCCGACACAACCCTGTCTTCGGAACCATGACATAAAACCTTTATTTTAATTCTAGTTCAGTATTCTTGCTAAAATAATTATTGTAATAAATATCTTTTTAAGGGTTATTCTTAAAATGGAATTATTACATATATTAATAGGTTTAATATTAATGCCAATATATAATTTGCACACATTTTGTTACTTATAATTTGTTTTATGTATGGTATTATCTTATATAATTATTTTGCTGGATTTGCTGTATAAAATTAAGCATAAAATGAATCATTCCAGCTTTTTACCAAATATAAATATTAAAGATAATAAAATCATGATTACATAATCTAATCCACTTTCCTTTCTACGTCAATTATATTTTTTTTATGTGAAAAGATGCCAAACGAGTAGACTATTCACCTGATGTTAAGTGTATACCGACGCCCATGGACATCTGCTACACCCGAGGGTTACAGATGCGTTGACAACCTTTTGAAAATTGGGCAATTGGAAAGTTGTATTTAGAAAAAAAAATTGCCTCATGCATACAGAAAATGAGAGTAAATTTACAGCGTCTTAGACACATTCTAATGACTATGGGAGTGTCTTCAAAGCAAGATTAACAGGTTAATAAGTGGGCTGCAAGACAAGCTATCGGTAATTGAAATAACTGATTATGAAATTGAACATGCTGTGAAGATGAAAAACATGCTAATGAAATATTCATAGTATAAATAAGATTTACTCTATCTGAGTTGTTTTACAAACTACAGAGAAACTCCTCGTCTTTTGAGGTTTCAAAAAAATAATCTTTGATTGTTTTTTATTTATAATGCGATATCAAGGGTGGATCCAGGGGGGGGGGGGGGGGGTCATGGGGGTCATGGACCCCCCCCCTGGGCTGCGTCCAGGACCTAGGTGGACCACTAATAAAAATTGTTAAACATAATATTTTTATATTTTTTGCCACAATATAGATTTTATGTAAGTACCTTCAATATTAATTTAAATTAGTATAATATTTTTTACCGACTTCAAAAGGAGGAGTTTCTCAATTCGATTGTTATATTTTTTTTCGATGTTCATTTTATGAACATTTTTACAAAATTTTAATGTTTGTCATCAAATCTTCCAAATTAAATTTGATCTACTTCCCAGTTACCGGTTAAGCTGAAATTTTGTATACATGTGTAAATCGCGAGACAATGCAATATTTTTATGACATGGTGCTGATCTAATGATGGAGCTGGAAGGTGGCAAAAGGAACTTCGCAATGAAACGACAGAGCCTCATCGCGTTCGGGTACATTTGAATCGTATTGACGAGTAGTTTGTCTTTCACTTAGATAAATAAATAAATAAACAAATAAATTAAGTAATTAATTTCGTAGGTAACCAGGATCTTATGATGGAGCTCCATCTTCAGCCGTCCATGGACATATGCACAGGTTGCAGATGCGTTTTCTCCTTACAATAAAGTGTGCTCCGGCTACCTCACTCGCTCACCAGACAAAACGCAGAATTACTTTACGCCGATCTTCTGTGAGGTCTATTCTGTGAGGTTCCTATGATCACTCTGTAATGAAACGACTGAACCCCATCGAGTTTCGGCTCATTTGATTCGTCTTGGCGAGTACTTAATTTTTAGATGTTACCAGGGTCTGATCTGATGATGGAGCTGGAAGATAGTCATATGTACTCAGTAAACAAACGACGCAACCCTATTGTGTCTCGGCTCGTTTGATTCGTCATGACGAGTTCTTTAGTGCTAGATGGTAACCATGGTCTGTTGACAGAGCTGGAATGTGGCCATAGGATCTCAGTAATTACGGAACACAACTGCGTCGAGTTTGATTCGTCTTAATGGGTGGACCGTTTTTGACGGGTGGTTTGAGAGGTGGTGGTTTAGTGGACGTGAGTATGCGACCCCATCTTTGGGAAGTAAAGTTTGTTCGTTCCGTTTGTTATGAATGTGGATTCTGTCGGTGATTAGATGGATTAGATGGACGAACGCTGAATATTATGAATGAATGAATGACTGAATAAATATTTTTTTGTTATTTATGACCATTTTTTTAACGTGGACGATGAAATTTTTAGTGTACGGCTATTTTAGAAGTTTTCATTTTATGAACATTTTTACAAAATTTTAATGTTTGTCATCAAATCTTCCAAATTAAATTTGATCTACTTCCCAGTTACCGGTTAAGCTGAAATTTTGTATACATGTGTAAATCGCGAGACAATGCAATATTTTTATGACATGGTGCTGATCTAATGATGGAGCTGGAAGGTGGCAAAAGGAACTTCGCAATGAAACGACAGAGCCTCATCGCGTTCGGGTACATTTGAATCGTATTGACGAATAGTTTGTCTTTCACTTAGATTAAGTAATTAATTTCGTAGGTAACCAGGATCTTATGATGGAGCTCCATCTTCAGCCGTCCATGGACATATGCACAGGTTGCAGATGCGTTTTCTCCTTACAATAAAGTGTGCTCCGGCTACCTCACTCGCTCACCAGACAAAACGCAGAATTACTTTACGCCGATCTTCTGTGAGGTCTATTCTGTGAGGTTCCTATGATCACTCTGTAATGAAACGACTGAACCCCATCGAGTTTCGGCTCATTTGATTCGTCTTGGCGAGTACTTAATTTTTAGATGTTACCAGGGTCTGATCTGATGATGGAGCTGGAAGATAGTCATATGTACTCAGTAAACAAACGACGCAACCCTATTGTGTCTCGGCTCGTTTGATTCGTCATGACGAGTTCTTTAGTGCTAGATGGTAACCATGGTCTGATGACAGAGCTGGAATGTGGCCATAGGATCTCAGTAATTACGGAACACAACTGCGTCGAGTTTGATTCGTCTTAATGGGTGGACCGTTTTTGACGGGTGGTTTGAGAGGTGGTGGTTTAGTGGACGTGAGTATGCGACCCCATCTTTGGGAAGTAAGGTTCGTTCGTGTTGTTTATGAATGTGGATTTTGTCGGTGATTAGATGGATTAGATGGACGAACGCTGAATATTATGAATGAATGAATGAATGACTGAATAAATATTTTTTTGTTATTTATGAGCATTTTTTTAACGTGGACGATGAAATTTTTAGTGTACGGCTATTTTAGAAGTTTTCATTTGGGTTGATTATATATTATTATTAACCCGTGTCCCGATAGTCCCGTCTTAGGCTACTTGTCATTGAAGTGGAGCCAGCGTGCGGAGTAGAGGAATTGAAAAATATTATAACCTATATACGACTACATAAAATCTGGTAACGATAAATAAATAAAAAGAAATTTCAAAAATAAGTAAGCCTACCAATAGCTACTTAAAAAAATACTATACAGGGTGGCTTTTCTAAGTGTATACATTATTTTTATTAAATTCTAGACATAAATAAAGTTATAATAAAAAATGATAAATATTTAAAATCACTCGTATTTAATTAATTAAATTAATTTGAACTTATCTCAGAAAGTGCGTGATTAATGGGCAACTCATGTATTTTAGGCGCGATCATTCATAACTAAAACGCAGACAAGTTCGTTTCAAAAGTATACGACGCATTTATGAATGACTACCGCATTGTCAACAAGTTCTGTTTTTTAGGGAATAGAATGCCAATTTTAATTAAAAAAAATGTTTGTTTTTATTTCAATAAACGGTTATACTACCGAGTTTGAACCTCCTGTGTGAATTTGGGCACCTTTATAAAAGCCATCCTGTATAATTTATGACAATAAAAAGCAACGAATTGTTACGAACAAAAAATGAATATTGCAAATCCGTCTATATATGACGAAGTTATGCCCGAACATACATAAAAAAAAATGTAAACATCCGAATTGATAACATCCTTCTTTTTGAAGTCGTTTAAAAGTACTTACTTTTTACTTGTATCTATGATTATAATAATTAAATTATAACTTATCAATTGACCACGACTACCGCCTTGTGCGATATATATATATATATATATATATATATATATATATATATATAAATATATAGATATCGTTGCAGACCGTAGCACCATATGGGTACCGAACATAAAAGCGAAAACTTGTATAGCATAATACATCAGCAGTCCTAGGCCGCGTTCGATCCTGGTAAAATTTGGCTCTCGTCGACAACGCGAGAAACAAAGACAATAAGTTAAATTCAGGTCACGTTTTCGTGGGGAAAAGATAACTCCAGTTTTCGTGTCTGAGCATCTCACTTGAGATCAGAAAATTGCTGTATGCTGCCGCTCGGCACAAGGTCAGAGAACTAAACTACAAATTCGTGTGGGAGCGTAGAGGTAAAGTGTTTCTAAGAAAATCAGCCAGTTCGAGCTTTATTTTTGTAAAGAACGCGGACATCTTAAGAACCTCTCATAAATATATAAACTGCAATTTTGTGCATTAGTTTCTTTTAGCATTTCGGCTATTTTGTTATTTATGTTAAAAATATACTATCAAAATGTACGGGGCTTACGAACTAAGAGAATCGAATTTTCCAATAATATTGTTTGTAATAATAACGATATTGTAATTATAAGTCAAATCTGGTTTAATTGTAGTATCTGCGATTCTGAATTATACGTCAATCGGTATTTTGTTTACAGTCTGCAATAGGGAAACTAGTGGATTTCATGAGAAAAAAAAAATGGTGGAGGTGTACTTATCACTATCTCAAGACGTTTTAATTCAATGCGACTACAGGCTTTTGATTCTAAGTGTGAAGACCTCTGGGTAGCATTAGTGTTACGGTAATACCGGTAGTAAGGAACTTCTTTATTTGTGTGCAATTTACCTTCCACCATCTACAAAGGCATCTTAGAGGAATTCTTAAACAACTGTTAATGTGTGTCTCTTACACTTTAATTTGGGATCAATAACTTGGAACTGTTCAAATAATAAACACGCCACTACATACATGGATGTAAATAATAGTAAGTAAGTAAGTAAGTAGTAGTAGTACATATTCTGCTCTTTTCTTCGATTTCGTAGATCTGAATAATTTAAAACAATTCAATTTTAATATAAACAACAAAAGAAAAATTTTAGAT